TCATATTCTCGCGATGCTTAGGCAAAGCCCTGCGCAGATCACTTCACCATCACCGTCACCATGCCCGTCGTGCTGACGGAACTCATCTACTTCCTCGACACTCTGCTGGATCAAGAGCTCGAGGGACATCATCGCACTGAACGTGTGCAAAACTCGGAGGTGTCGTGCTCTCGGTACTTGATCGGTTGAACGAGAATAAGTTCGACTACATCAACCTCGTTAAGCAAACGCTTCCACTTTCAGTCTACGAGGGTACTGGACACACTCTCCCCCTCTTGTTGCTATGCATATCCTAGATAGATCCTGCGTGAGCGTAGGAATTTTTTTGAAATTACATGCTACGTTTCCCAACAAGGTTGGCCTGAACTAGGACATCTTGGCCATCACGGTCCATGGCCTCTCAAACCTTGAAGTCTATTTTTATGAGCAGGTGATCAAGGACGTGGTGTTCTCCCTCTCCTCTGTCAAAGCTCCAGGCTGACGACTTCAATGGAGCCTTTTTCAAGTCATGTTAGGACACTATGGCGAGGGGTGATTGCAATGGCCTCATCAACTCTGCCAACATCATCCTCCTACCCAAAAGGCCACCATGGCCCATGTGGGTGATTGTAGGTCGATCAGTCTGATCCATAGCTTGTCGAAGATCTTCTTGAAGATCCTGGCAAATAGGCTTGCTCTGATCGTCTCGATGTCGTCTCCAAGTGCCAGAGTGCTTTTGTTCGCAAGTATTGCATCCACATCCATGACAACTGCATGCACGTATAGAGCCTCATTAAGGATCTCCACCGCAAGAATGCTCCCATAGTCTTCCTCAAGTTGTACATCTTGAAAGCTTTCGACTCGACAATTGGGCCTACTTTTTCAAGGTGTTGCATCTCTTGGTGTTCGGCCGGCGGTGGCAGGACTGGATCTGCATGTCCCGCGTCATTCTCCTCGATCCTTCTCAATGTCAACCTGGGACTACCCTTCCACCATGCTCGTGGTTTGCGCCAGGGGGGCTGCTATCCCCGATGTTCTTCCTCCTCGCTATCGACCCCTTACAGAATATTCTGAAGTTGGATTTTGTGAGGGGGGGACCTGAAACCCATTTGTGCATGGACCACATCTTGCCGGATTTCCCTCTTCACGAACGATGTTGGTATTTTTGCCAACCCGAGCAAGGAAGAGCTCCATGTGATCTCCTTCATGCTTTTGGCCCTTGACGACATGAGTGGTCTGGTCACTAACCTAAAACTGAGATCCTTCCATTCGTTGCCATGACAGGGATCTACATGACACCCTCTCTGAATTCACCGCCAAGAGTGCTTCGTTCCCAGAAGGTACCTGGGGTTGCCCGTGCACTTTCATCGCTTTTGCAATATTGATTATGAAGGCCTCACTGGGGTTGCCCGAGCAACAGGCCACGCGCACTCGTCGAGGCAGGGGAGGTGGGTGAGCTCAATGGAGTACGCCAGCGTGCGTCTCAAAGTGCGTGGGTGGCAACCATGGGCGACCAAGTGGGCAACCATGAGATGCGGGTGCGGGCCTAGAGGTCATCGACTCTATCCCCATCCCCATGGATGCCCATGTGACTTTGAAATACTCACCTCCCTTGAGAGGTGTTCCTCCACGCCAACCAGCTAAAATCCCACGAGTGCGCTATTCCTTGGTGCCCAGCACCACGCCAGCAAAGTGACGAACCAGTGGGAGTTGGTCGGCAGAGTTGGGTAAAGAGCATGAATTTTTTAGCTTTGGTCATTTTGCAGAAACTACCCAAAGAAACAACTTTTAGAGACAAGTTAAACCCCAAACTTCTTTTTTTTGAACTAAAATTATACACTTAAACCAATTAGTAGACTAAAGTGTGCAGTTTTTAAGTTAATGAACTAAAGTGTGCATCTGTATGAGTTTGGAACATGAAGTAACAAAGCATTCCACTCTTATTAGGGCTTATATAATGCATGGTGTTTAGAGGAGGTGTTTAAAGAAATAAATCAGCCTCCTCTTAAGAATCAATGCTTATTTGTTGAGGATTGACACTTTTTTGATAGGGAATAACTTTATTTCTCAAACAATAGCTAGATCGTTTACAATTTGAAGGGAAATAAAGTCGGGCACACCTTCATCCCAGACCATAGAGGATCTAGTACTAAGAGCATTCTTTGCTATAGAATCAGCAACACTATTTGCCTCCCGAAAGCAATGGATCACCTCCACTTTGGCAAAATCAGACCCCAAATGCCTGCACTCCATGTATATGGACACTTCTTGGCCCAGATAATCCTCCTGGTTAATTATGTCAACCGCATTGGAGCTGTCTGATTCCAGAATAAGAGAGTTACATCCAATAGTCATTGCCAAAATCAGTCCATTACGAATAGCCACCACCTCCGCAGATTTAGCTGATGTAACATGCGATATAAAACATGATGTTGCTGCAATAAAATCTCCTCTATCATCTCGAGCTACTGCCCCAGTAGCTCCCGTCATATTCTCCGGGCTGAACGCTGCATCAACGTTTATCTTAACTCTTCCACTAGTTGGCTTTTTCCACATGTGATCACATACACGGATAGGCTGGTTTGGGGTTTCAGCCCTCACAAAATTTGTGGCCAAGACTTTGTGGAAATGGTTGTATGTTCTGGCGATCGTATCTCCTCTCCTTTCACATATTGCCTGTGCTGCCACCAGATGTACCAGCTGCCGACCGCCATAAACTCCGTCAAGGGGATGTCACCCACCAAAGCCTGTCGTGTCATGAGCACATCCATTGTAATTGCGCCAGATTGGTCTACGGCTACCGCCCATTCAACCTCCTCCCTTACCCCAAGCTGAGACCAAACATCTAGAGCTCTTTTGCATGTGAACAAGCAATGTTGGGAGTCTTCCATACCCACTGTACAGATCGGGCATTGGGCTGATGTTGGTATGTGCCTCCCTGCCAATGTCCCACGGCACGGTAGGACGCCCCTGAGAACTTTCCAAAGAAAGTGTTCTATTTTCCCAGGAACCCGCATCCTCCAGATATACTTCCATATGTCATTGACTCGATAACTTCCCTTCCCATCCGTCCTGTTCCAATGTTTCCCGTATTGATGATCAAACTCAACATGGTATGCTGAGCGGACTGAGAACGAACCAGATTTTGTATGATGCCGTGCTATGAAATCCTCCACTAACTCCACCCGATGTGGGATTTGCATGATTCTGTATACATCCACTGGGTTGAAGACTGCTAGCAACAACTCTTCATCCCACTCGCCTGAATGCGGGTTTATCAATTCTTCAACTTTCCCCAACACAGTAGCTCCTTTAGGTGTGATAATTTTTCGTGATTCACTCGTTGGAATCCATGGATCATTCCAAATATCTATGTGTGAGCCTCTGCCAACCCGCCAGATGCATCCTCTCTTGAAAGTTTGTATGCCCATTACGATGCTCTGCCAAGTAAAGGAAGAACCTTTCTTAGGTCCCGCGTTAAGAATGTTACCATCCGAATAATATTTTTCACTAAGGACTTGTGAACACAAAGATTCAGGATTCTGGAGTAGTCGCCAACACTGTTTTGCTAGTAAAGCAAGATTGAAACTGTGTAGGTCTCTAAACCCCATACCTCCCCTCTTCTTTGGGACGCACATCTTCCACCATGCAAACCAATGCATTTTCTTTTTCTCCTCAGTGTCTCCCCACCAAAACCCTGCGATCTCATCAGTAATAGCCTTACAGATCCCTTTGGGCAATTTGAACACTGACATTGCATATGTAGGGATTGCTTGAGCCACTGCTTTCATCAAAATTTCTTTTCCTTGCATAGAAAGTACCTTCTCCTTCCATCCCTTTATCCTCTGACAGACTCTATCAATGAGATGCTGAAAACAGTCACTTTTATCAACACCTACCAAAGTAGGCAAACCAAGATATTTATCTGAAAGTGCTTCTGTCAATATGCCAAGAGTATTACAAATATCTTCTCTAGTATTCACCCTTGTGTTAGGACTGAAAAAGATACTAGATTTTGCCGTACTTACCAATTGCCCCGAGCTGCCACAATACATGTCCAGAACTTTTTTCAACGTGTTTGCATTCTGAGTATTAGCTTTCATGAGGATTAGTGAGTCATCCGGAAAAAGAAGGTGAGAGATAGATGGTGCATTTCTGCAGACCCGGACTCCTTCTAGTCCCCCAATCTCCTCCTCATGATCTAGCAGACATGACAGGCCTTCAGAACAAAGAAGGAACAAATATGGTGACAAGGGATCACCCTGTCTTAAACCTCTAGTTGGCTCAATTTCATCTGTCTTGCACCCATTAAATCTCACTCTGTAGCTAACTGTGGAGACACACTCCATTATCATGTCCACCCAAAGTGGATGGAACCCAAGCTTCAGCATAACTTGTTTTAAGAAGCCCCACTCGACTCGATCATAAGCCTTGAGCATGTCGAGTTTTACTGCACAAAACCCGTTGGAACCATGTGTCTTCTTCTTGATGGCATGGAAGCATTCATACGCCACCAACACATTATCCGTAATTAATCTGCCCGGGACAAATGCACTTTGTGTTGGGGAGATGATATCAGGTAAAAATTTCTTGAGCCTATTAGCTAGCATTTTAGAGATGATTTTGTAAATCACGTTGCATAGACTAATGGGCCTATACTGAGTAATCACCTCTGGACTGTCCACCTTCGGAATAAGAACGATATTAGTTTGGTTCCAACCTGCTGGGATATTCCGATTGTTTATTGATTCCAGCACCTCATCAGTTAGCTCTTCACCAAGAATATGCCAAAATCTCTTGTAAAAAACTGCGTGAAGCCCGTCCAGGCCTGGGGCTTTCATATCCCCTATCTGGAACAGTGCCTTATGCACATCCTCACGAGAGTAAGGTGCAATCAACATTCTATTCATCTCAGTTGTAACTCTCGGTTTCACGGCTCGGAGAAGATCCTGGTCAAATTCAACAGAATCAGACATAAACAAGCTCCCAAAATAATCACAGATTAATGGGTTGAGGTTATCATTCCCCTCCACCCATCCATTATTATTATGCTTTAACTTTTTTATCATATTCCTCCTGCACCTAGCTGATGCAAACTGATTAAAGTACTTAGAGTTTCTATCACCTCGGCGTAGCCATCTAACCCTGCCTCGTTGGGCCCAAAAGATCTATTCTTCATCAAGTAAATTTTCAATGAGAACAGAGAGGTCCTTTTGTTTTATTCGGCTCTGTTCCGTATACTCTTGCCTCATCACCTTTTCCAGATCTTGTTGGGCCTGTTTCAACCTATTGCGAGGCCCCTTGAGCACTCGTCTATCCCATGCATGTAGATCACTATGAACAGCCTCCACTTTGTCTTTGATCGAAGGACAAAGCCCTCTATGAATCGCCTTCTGCCATGCTGTTTTGATGATCTCCTCGACTAGTTCTTTTTCCAGCCATCGTGCTTCAAACCGGCGAACCACCTTGCACCGACCAGCAGATGCATCTGAAAGATATTCAGTATCCAATAAGATGGGGCGGTGATCAGATTTCCCCATCTCAAGATTACATAACCCCGCCAATGGGTGCATGTTCATCCAGTCTGCATTTGTTACCGCTCGGTCCAGCCTCTCCTTGAGTCCACCTCTGAACCAAGTGAATTTATCTTCGACATAACCCATATCTTCCAAAGCACAGTCTGACAGGGCATCCTGGAAAGCCTTCATTCATACATGTTGGCGAGGAGGGCCTCCCTCCTTCTCCGAAGATAGTAAAATTTCATTGAAGTCTCCCAACATAACCCATGGCAGCCTAGAATGGGCATGTAAATCGCGAATGTATCGGTACGTGCGCTCCTTACTGTCCCATTGCGGCTCCCCATATATCCCTGTCATCCTCCATATGTTGCCATTTGTTTCATGAACCGTAACGTCAATACCATCCAAGGTGGTAGTCTGGGAGTAGATCCTAACCTCCTTCTTCCAGACTAAAAGCAAACCACCTCTCCTTCCATCCGGGCTAGCTGCCACTATCCTTTCATCCATCGCCAGTTTCCTCATTAGAATTTTTGCCTTTTCGTCACCCAGATGTGTTTCAGACAGAAAGAAAACATCCGGTTTGTGTCGCCTCTGGATATACAGGAGCGAACGTACTATCGATGCTCTAAGGAGACCCCGACAGTTCCAACTAATGATCTTCATTGGTTCCGGCGATCACCCTCGAGGGGTGTCGCCGATGCAACAGATTGTAGGTCAGAGGCCTCAGCATTCGCTCTAAGCCTCTTCGGATCATGAACTTTTTCCGGTGTGCTCATCTGACTCTTGTCCACTCTATCATTGTTTCCAGCTTCAATCAGGCCCACCTTCTTAATAACAAACCTAGGTGGTGGATCAGAGCTCCCACCACGCTAGATTACAGCACCATCTTGACCAATGAGCCTCTTTTTCGCTTGCGGGACAACAGCCCCGTAGTTAGCAGACCTCCTATGGTCTAGATCCATATCAGTTTCCTCCTCGGGATGTTGGTATCCCGGATTACCCCTTCCTCTTCCTAGGCCTCCATCTCTCCCCCGAGGCCCTCCCATGTTCGTCCTTCCCCTCCCACTGCTAGATCCTCTCGTGGGGTCATCATAATTCACAAGAAGCCAGTCTCCCCATTCGCAATCCTCTGCCTTGTGTGTGCCATCTCCACACTCCATCACCAGATGTCCAATCAAGCCACAATAATCGCAGAAATCAGGCAGTTTTTCATACTCTACCAGGTACCTTTTGCTTTCCTTCAAGGTCAGTGGGACAAAACGGACGATGGGTGTATCCAGCATCACATGAACTCGAGCTCTCAGATATTTGGATGGATTGATATGACCCTCATTAACCACAACTGTGATAGGCGGGATACCCACCTTCTTCGCTATTTTCTCAGCAATCTCTGTTTTCTTCATGAGACCATCCGGTAAGCCAATGATACGTGCCCATACCGCTATGCGATCAAGTTTGTACTCATCTACGTTTGTCAGTCCATCATACTCTTCCAACACCACTGCGGAGTTCCGAAACAACCAAGGGCCCCCGTTCATAACACGATTCTAGTCACCTAAACACATGAATTGAGCGAGGAAGATGTTTGGTTTCTTATCCTTGAAGATCACCCCTTGCGCCGGTGCCCAGGCGTTCCTCATGGCCTTGTACAGAGCGACATGGCTGAAAGGTTTGCACGTATGAACCCTAAATATTGCAATCCATCTTGTTTCTTCTACTAGACCGTCAATCTCTCCCGACAGGTCCAGATCTTCCTCCTCCTCTCCATGGAGGTTCAACCCCGAGAACCGATCTTCCAGATTTGCATCTGGACCGCGCGGGTCACTTCCATCTCCACTACCTGACGCACCCTTCATCGGCGCCTTCCCGTCCCTTCCTTCCGCCATGCAAGTGCTCGAGATCGGTCGGAGACTCTTCTGGGATCACGCACAGTCCGACCCTAATCGATTCGCACGTGAGATTTTGGTGTAGATGTGGTATAGGAGGAACCCTAGCGGCGCGCCGCAAGGGGAGAGGTGGAACCCTAGCAACCTAGGGTCTGGAATCAAAGTTTCTTCAGCGATAAGCTTCCATTGTTGAGGATTGACACTTAATTAGACACTTATCCTGTAGATAAGCACCCATGTCTAAGAAAAAATCGGCTTATTTTACTGAGCATTATACAAGGCCGTGGAAGGTCATGGAGAAAAGAGGGACAGAGTCAAGCGGACAACGATTTGCTTTGGTCATTTGCAGAAACCACCTTCATAGAAACAACTTTCACGGATGTCGTCCTTCACATGCACACGTGTCCGACAAGAAATTACAGCAAAGGCGGCTTTTTTTTTCCTGACCATAACCATACACTTAAACCAGTTAATAGACTAAACTGTGCGATTTTTTAGTTCATGAACTGAAGTGTTTATCCACCGTCAGTTTAGCTCATCCACCGTTAGTTTATGGGCTAATGAGGCATTTCACTGTTATAGAGGGAGGAGGGACATATAGTCAAGCTGACAACGATTTCTAAAGCGCAAAAGGTCCAACTAGATGACACAAGCTCGGCCAAGTGGCGGCAGCTCGAGACAACAGCCAGCAGAAAAAATCTACGCAGACGAAAACCTCCCAACAGCGGCAAGAAGAAGCAGGGGATC